GTATGTCGGTATTGGGGTATTATGTAATTACGCATGCATGTAATGTACGTAGATGTGTATGCATGTATGCATGCATGTATGTTACGTATGTGTGTGTATGTTTATATATATATATATGTTAATTTACTTATGGATTTGTTCATTTATTTATTTTTATATGTATACATGTATGATTGTATTGGAAGAGACACTCGCGCAGCACAGCAGCATGTTACGATGCATCAGCGTACGCCGATAACACACCATCGCCGTATAGCACATGTGCAAACTGGTCTGCCGAGGTCGGGAATTGCTGCCGCGTGCACGGCTGGCCTCTCCAAAGAACTTCCCAGCAGCGACCCAGCAGGCTGTTTCGGGGCTCTGGGGTTTAGAAAATAGGGCCATGACAATGTTTAGGGGTTGGGCGTCTGGGTCGGCAATACCCCTGGTCTAGTTAGACTTCTCATCCGACCCTAAACCGCTGAGCATTTAGAGACTTGCAGAAGCCATATCAGATCCAAAGCTCCTTTGCCAGGGCAGCTTTATTCGAACTTCATTTCGCAGCTGGGCATGCAAGTGGGGCTTTAGGGCCTTTATAGGGTTTTGGGTTTTGGGGCCCAGACTGACTCCAGGATAGGAGGAGACCGGACATTTCCTGTTTCTATGGCATAGCTCGACGACGAGCAAACCTCTTGCACTCTCGTGCCCTGAAGCAGTCCGGTTTACCATGTTTGCTTAGTGTTTCTAAGCCTTAGGCATGAGGTCTTCTGGCTTAAGCTTGCACGGTTTAGGCTTTGGCATAGGGTTAAGGTCTCAGAGGTATCGAAATGGGATAGATTGTTCAAGTTCGGCGACGTTGCTTCAGGGGATCAGTGCTTTTTTCATTGATTCACTCTAGCCAGCCTGCAGCCCAGCATGATCCAAAATTCCGGAGGCCGGTTTAGGTTTCAAGAGAACTTGAAATGGTGCCTGGGCCTAGGTCTTTAGGATTCAGGACTGCGTCAAAAAAAGTTGCTTTTGGGTCTGAGGGTGTGGTGTTGGCCTTTACGGGGTGACTGGTCATGAGCGCTTAAGTGCGCTTCTATGAGTCTAGGGGCTGACAGAAGCCCTTCAGATCTCTACAAACCTCCAACTCCGACAGACCATGGTTTTCTATGACCTCGAACCCGTTGACTTCGAAGCCTGAACACCCAGGAAGCACCAACAGTTTGGTTTTTGTTTGGCCTTGGTGCCTCTGACTTCCTTGCCATGTTTCATTCTCGGATACCTCTCAATTGGTAGCCTTTGCCGTAGCCCCGAAGTCTCTGCAAGCTGACCACAACCCCAAACGCACAAAATAAAAGCAGCATCCTAGAAGCGCTCCAGGGACACAAGGACACAGGACGCCCCATAAAAAGTAGGTTCCAAAGCCCAACCAGGGACGTCTGTCAGACAGAGTTTGCGGCGCTCAGCTGAGTGGCCCTTGCTATTGCCAGGGTCTGGTATTAGAGCGCAGGGTGTAGGGTGTACAGGGTTTCGGGTCTTGTAACCCCAAAACACCCAGAACACCCTAAACTCGAATCCCGATACCCGAGTATTTGTGCTCGCGGCGTGAAGTTGCGGAGTTTCAATTTTCTGCCACAGGGGTGCGCAGGCCCCGATCGCGACGACTATTATTGAGGACACTTAGTTTATCGGTTTCGATACGGTGGATTCTTTAGTTTAGGGCCACGTCTAGGTCCCAGTGTCCGATGTGAACGAAGTGCTGTACACCCGACCTTTCAAGCCACGGTTGATGGCGACCCGCAGCCATGAATCAGACCTTGTGAAACTTGCTCATTTCAAGTGTTTGAAGACAGACGCTTGAACATAATCTTGTTTCTCCAATACAAAGGCATCACAAGCCTGAGCAGTCTCGCACATCTGCAGCACAGATTTGGGCCCAAGCTCCAAACCCTAACGATGCCGGGACTGCCGTGCGGGAGCCTTTAAACATGAGCATCATTAGATTTATATGCTGTGAATGCCGTATTGGAGACGACAAGACGAGGTTCGCCGCCCCTTTCCCGAACGGGAAATGTATCTTGGTCAAGACAATGGCAAGGTGAAGCCCGAAGCTGAAAGCCTACATTGCAAAACCCCAATGCCTTAACATCTTTATCTAACACAGCTCGCAGGCCCAAGCCCCCTAAGCAACAACAACAACAACAACAACCCTAAGCGCAAGGTTGGGTTTCAACCGTTGACTTCGTTTGGGTCCAGGGTTCAGAGTTTGAGTGCGCGTGTAGGGTTTAGTCGGGGTTGAAACCCGAAGCCCTCAGTCGTAGACCCTATATTAAACCCTACACCTACACCCCGACCCCTAAAGCCTTAAACCCCACAAGAAGCCAAGCTGCGTCTTGACCAACCAGGAAGAAATAGATAAGTTATTTTTGCACGGCCCACTGCGACCGGTCTCCTTGCAGGCTTTGTCCTTTGCACAGCGCTGTGCAGTAAAGCCGAAAGCAGTTCAAGGTGGGGGGTGTAGTCTAGGGTTTAGCCGAGGTCTAAACTCGATTCCCTAAGCCCCAAGAATCCAACAGACCGGAACCTCTACAAACGCAAAGGGAGACCCGTAACCCGTGAAATGGGTGGCGCTACCGAAATCTTCAGCCCTCAACGGTGTAGTGCGTCTAGGCCTGGTGGCGGTTTAGAGTCACCGTGCAAGGTTTTGATGTTGGCTTAAATCGGGTTAAGGGCTGCAGAATCAGGACCTACTTTTGCCTGTTTAGGCAGTGGTACTTGTCCTCAGAGTTCCTTGGAGACAGCCCCCACCCCAGTCTAGTTACGAAGCCCTAAACCCTAAACCTTAAGGTACAAGCGAAGTCTAGATCCTCAAAGCCTCAGTCGGAGACAGGGACATCATGGGAAGCTGCATCCCATATTGCAAGGATTGCAAGAAATCCGACATGAAATCAGCCCGAAACCCTCAACCTTCAGTGTAAATTTTAGGGTTTTGGGTTTAGGGAGACAGTCGAAACCCAAGCATCACCAACACGTCTGGCGGCTCAAGAACATGCCGAAAGCTGCACGGCAAGCCAGAGCTTACCCAGTATTGCGGCTGTTGCGACATGCGTACCCTTACCAGTTCGACGGATGCTGCTGACTGATGTAGGGGTAGGAATAAATACTAATACTGTCCCTTACATAATAGTATACGACACCCCCAAGCCCGAAACCCTGTTCTAATGATTAGGGCCCTATCTTGACTTTCGCGTTTGCCATCCTGCGAGCAATCGTGAGTTTTCTTGCTGGTTTCCATTTCTGGAAGGGTGTTGGCTACTTGTAGCCGAAAACCCGCGACCCTAAAAACTCTAACGCTCTACACTGCAAAAGCTCTGCAACCTCAAAATTCTCAACTGTTGGCCTGTTGAGACTGGCTTGGTCGTGTTAAGGGCTTTAGGGTTTGGTGTTTTCGAGCGTGCACATGTGGATCTAGACAGGGAGGGAGGAGGGACGGAGGGACGGAGGGAGGGAGGGAGGGACGGAGGGAGGAGGGACGGAGCGAGAGAACACAGACCTCTACATAGAGGTACATGAATAATTGTTCAGACAAACACCAATTAATGATGGATATGAATATAATATAAGTTTATACACACACGCACATGTCGGCCCCATAGAAGCACTTTGCAACAATCAGGCCATAGTTGAAACATGCCAAAACAGGAATGGCCGAGGTCGCCTACTTTCCGTTGCCTAGGCGTTCACGCCCACTGCCGCAGGGTTCGAAGTGGCCCCATTGGAGTCGTAAGGAAACAGCGAAAAACGTTGCGAATGTGGGAAGCAGCTGTTGCTAGACCCGGACTGCTCAAAGCAGGCTCAGGGAAAAGACCTTCTGGCAAGTCGGGAATGACTTGGCATGTGATGCTCCAGCATGGAGGTTTCTTGGAGATGGCACCGCCTACGATCAGAATAAGTCGGTTTGGTTCTTGCTACTTAAAAAACCTGTGCTACATCTGCAGCATAGAGGCTTGGAGTGAGTATTGCGCTCATGAGCCCTGCAAACCTGCCTCTACTTGATGCCCATACCGTAAACCGATAGGTCCGTGGTTCCAAGTCCGCAGCACTCCTTCAATCTAGTTAGCTAGAAAGGGCTTGGAGCGAATCGTCTCTTTGCAGCTGCCTGGTGAAAGGATGATGCGGCATTCCAGCTAGAATAGCCATGTTACATTGCAAGGGCTTGGGGGTTTAAAGGTTAGACTTTATAAGTTGAAGGTTTTAGGATTCAAGGTTTTAGATGGTTTTGGTTAGAGTTTGGGCAGGTCTGAACCCGTTAAGCAAACAGTTGCTGCTACATCGCGCTGCTGAAGAGTCAGGGGGTTTAGGGTTCAGGCTGTTCTACAGAAAAACCCAGTACATGCATTCAGCAGCAATCTTGACAAGAGCGCTTAGCCCCTAGAAAGGCCCACAACCAAAAGTCCTGGGGCCTTAAACGCAAAAAAAGTCGATGGAGGAACAAACCAAAACATGTGTATATATATATATATGTATATATATATATATATGTATATATATATATATGCTCTCGGGCCCCAGGCCCACCCCACCACTGCCCGGTGCGGAAAGCGGCAATCTGCGCAGTAGTTTGCCGCATCAGACATGAATTACACAGCTTAAGAGGGTTGTATGGCGATGGTGATGGTGGCAGCTATTCTTGTGATGGTACTGATGATGAAGATGACGACGGCAATGATGATGGTGAGCATGATGTCAAAGATTATCCGCTTGTCGACTCGCGTCGCCGTCTCGAGCAGCACCGCCTCATGAGCAGTATCACTGGTGCCACAGCAAGAAGGAAGATAAAGAGTAACACGTACGAACTTCAAGAACAGCATATGCGGGCCGCACGGCCATAGTGGATGCAATTGTAGACATGAATGGTGGTGGATAAGATCAGACAAGTGCTCGTAAAGTTCCGCCAACTACTGATCGTGACAAGAGGTCCTTGTGTTACGCGTGTTGCGTACTCCAATTCAGGCCAACCACAGCCTCAGCTAAGCGGGGTGCACAGCCTGCCACAACAATGAAGTTACAGGGGTGGGGGATGCGGCGGGGAAGGGTACCACCACAGGCCCCACCCGACAGGGGGGGAGGGAGGTGTAGCAGCCCTGCATCATAAATGTTGATATATACATATATAATTATATATATACATATAAAGGCAACCAAACCTTTAAAACCCCAAAGTGTACCAAAGTGTACAAAACCCAGACGGGGCATCACACGACACAAGAAGATTTTTGCCGACAAGGATACCAAAGACTTCCTCACCTCAGACTTCCACACCTCGCGACAAAAAAAGAGAGCTTCGGACCTCATGGTGCGAGTTTTGGGGTGTTAGTTTCAGACATGAAGGGCTTTATAATTTTGGAGGCACAGGATTTTAAAGCTTATTCTCCAGAGGCAGGGCTGATTGAACGGCTGCAAAATGATATGAATTTCAGAAATAGTTGAATTAATATCTGGATCTTCATAATAAATATATTTTCATCTTTATATTCCATTTCTATATCATAATCTTGAACTTATTTTCGTAGAATCTTGATAGTGCAAAGATTAAATGAAATAAACAAACATATATATATCATTAACCGATTAGATTTGATTTAATAGAATTTCGAAGAATAATATTTCTAATAACAAATTATTATATTTCTATAAGAGAGAGGAATATAAATAATATTAATGACCAATCGATAATATATTTGAAATAAAAAAATTAAATATGATTATCTTTTAGGGATTCTATTAGAGATATACTATTTTATTAATAAAGATATTTTGAAGAATCTCTAGTATATTTCTTAAACATATATATATATATATTATAG